TAACAATTGATAATATGAGGAGAATATAATCCAAACCAACTCCTTTCAATGGATTAATTATAAAATATTCTAATTTAGGAAAAAGAGGTAAAATAACTAGTTCAAACAAAGGGACCAGAACAAACAAAGGGACGACATTGACAAAAACCCAAATCACTCCTCTAGCATTTTCTTTAGACCCATTTTCAAATTGTGCAGTAAAATGAGATAAACGAAATACAAATGGAACAATTGAAACAAATAAGGCGGAAACAGTGGCCACAACAACAGCAATACGTAGAAAAGTCTTTACATTTTCCACTTCTTCATGAGAAAAACAACCACCATACCTCTCCTTAGCAAGATCCATTCTACTGGGCTCCTCTCCCCAGTATGTGAATGCACTACGATGCTGTCTTCTAGTGCCACTAGTTGTGAGAGAAAAATTCAATACTTTAAATACAATTTTATAAGGATTAGGAATAGGTATGTGCTCAAAACGATGCTTAAAGAGAAAATGAAGACAAAGAGAAAAAGAAAAGAGAGCAAAGGCCAAAACTGAAACAATGAACTCATCAGACATAAATGGCAAGGCATAGCCACTATAAAGACACAGCCAGTACCAGTGAATGAATGCTCTTATCTTGACACTAGATTCATTCATCAACTGATCTATACCATATGGTAATATATTTGTGATCATTAGTGTCATTGATAAAAACATAAGCACTAAAGCTATACCAGAGAATACATACTTTCCCATTAGGGCAACAGCGTCACACTGATCAGAAATATATTGCAAACAGCATCCTATGGCCTGAATTAGAGCACCAATCCAACCAAGCCATAGACCAAGATAAATAGCATTACCCCTACCAATCTTAGTATCTGATAACCAACCACTGAAAGGGGCAAGAAGTAGGAGAGTATTTCCTACTAAAATTGCAACATTATGAAATAAAACGTCATTTTTAGAGTCAAAAAATCCACATTGGTTGTAGATGTTACGAGAAAAGTTCTTAAAAATGAAGTCAAAAATCACAATACAAATTTCAACTGGTAGAGTATAAATCAGTAGTAGGATTGATGGTAAACTCAATGAACGAGACTTTAATTCCTTACAGTAGTTATTGAAGCAGTCGAAAGGTTTGTACTTCCTTTTAC